ATATTAAAGGGAACAAAATTGCTGATGAAATGTACATAACTGAAGTCGATACCTCGGTAGAGTTTAGTTCGCAATCGTCGAGTTCACAAATCATTGGTCACCGCGATGGTTAATTTTTCTGTGTCTCTGAACAGCTCAGTTTGAATCTAATTCATAAGAGCATAGAAGATTTCACCATCGCTTATCGGATTTTCTCAATTATATCTGAAAAACCAAACGGTTTTACTAGGATAATAGTAAATAGAATAATAGCATCATTGATGGAAGGACCAGGTGTCCAACGATTTGGGGGCGCTCAATACTATCAACTGACGACAGTAAGCAACTAATCGGACTGACTGGCGAAGGCTGTTCGATGTGGTCAAGAACGACTGACGGTGTAATGGCCAGCTAACTAAGTAATAGTAAATAGTGGTCAGCGTGACGTGTCCTTCCCAGGCAACTTTGAGAGCAATACAATGGGCAATATCTCCGAATGAAGGTGAGTTTGTGTTCTTAAGGTATTTAGTCCAAATTATTAAATTTTGAAGCTACTTTTATATTTTAATATTTTGACAATTTGAAACGACAACTTTAGTGTATCAATTATTCCTATGATCTTACTTTTGAGTGTTCTGTATTGACATGAAGCCATCGTTGAGCATTCATTAGCAAATTTAATTATGCAAGCAACCTGTAAGATATTTTCCGGTTCTTGAAGTTAAAATCACCATTTATTAAATTGATTTTTAACGTCGGTTTTAAAGAAACTAAATTTTTAATATAAATTATTGTATTCAATAGAGGTTTTTGTTAAACATATTAAATTAAATGAATTTTTGGCTGACCATACATCATTACCACTTTACGAAATGCCTTTTAAGTGGACTGCAGATATAAAAGAATCTACGATATAAGAGTTAAAGGTTATATCTTAATCAGTCCACGAAAAATGGGTGGAGGATTGAGTAAAGCGACATTGTAGTTATTTATCACAGGATTGGGCTTATTTTAAAGGAGATAAAGTTAGTTTTGGTTCTATGTTTTTTTTTTGCGTTTTATTCAATAAATATTAGGTTTTTTAAGTAATTTCAAAGTTATTTTTTATTTTTGAAAAAAGTGGTTTTTTGGGTCACAATATTCTCTCTTTTACATATATTTCCATCTACTTATAAAAATGAATATAATAATTAAAATAAATGAGTCCTTAAACGATAAGTATTTAGTTTACTTATTACCTTATATAGACGCAACATAAATTGCTTCTATATATACTTGATATACTAGATCTGTACTAGATCATTGTGTAGATGAGAAATATTCCAAAAAACCATAGCAAAATAAGAAAAATCTTCAGACGACCAAATGATTTTAACTTCTTATAGATGGATTTAAACAACTTGTAGATATACATTGAATTGAGTATGTCGTTGATAGACGGGTTATTAATATTCATCAACTCAATTAACGCATCGCTCTTGTTTAAGTTGTCCTCAATAGTGCTTTCCATCTCTGCCAGCTCACTGATCGAATTTTGAACCTCTTTTAAGGCCTCATTCTGCACCTCTATACAGTTATGGCGTTGCTCTTCAGTATCACTTTCTTCAAGAACACAACCTGCTTCACATTCAAATTCAGGCTTATAAGGACACTGGGCCACATGAGACTTGAGATCTCGCACTTTTATGATGACATTGCATCCGCTGTCTGCATAATCACAGTTAATATGTAAGTTTGAAATGCGAATGCACAAGTCTGGTCCTGCATCATAAGTTTTGCGTATTGAAATACGTTTGCCACAAGGACACCTTCCAGACACGGACCAAAACGCCACCAAACATGCCTGGCAAAATTTTTGCTTACAGGTTGGCTCAGTTGTTGGCTTCTCCATGACTCCGCGGCATAAGCTGCAAATCATGCTACTTGAAATTTTCTCGTGAAATCTGTCTAAATCGTAACCCATCTTCCAAGACAAAAATGAGAAAATTCTTCAAAAATTTGGTTATTTTAAATAATAAAACGACAAGTAAATTTAATGAAACTCTGTCGATAAAATTTTTTTTCAATTGATTACTGAAGTTGAAGTTTATTTCATTATTTTTACTTTTGACATTTAGTCGACCAGTTACCAAGTTTTTTAGTAGTACTGAAAACTTCCGATCTATTATTTGACAAATAATACTCAAAGTGTGTGCTTAACAAATTAAAGTAAATAAAAGTCGATTTTCCATATGGTCCAAGTTGTATCCATTATACGACTAGGTCGGGAACTTATGTTTTTTATTATTAATCTCGCTTTATATCTTTAAATAATGAAAAAATATTTTTTGAAATTTGCTGTATTATCTATTAAAGAGATTATTTAATCTTAAATCATTATATATTAATCTATTGTATATATTGTTCAGGTTTAGGCTGTTTATCTTTAATAGACAAAGTCTGGTATTAAGCAATGATGTGTGTCATTTTAAAAATGTAGTTCAAAACGATGATATCGAATTGATTTTATTACTGCTTTGTACTATACACCCTGTATGTACATAAAATAAAAATTTTTTTAGAAAATACTATAAATTCTGTTGAATTGCTATATTTACATACAAAAACTTTCTCATTAATAAAACAAACGTGAATTAAAAATTAAATGAATGAATTTATATTACAAATTGGAAATTAAGTTTTTATGATTTTCCAGTTTGTTTATTTATGAATTGAGTTTTTATGAAGTCAGAGACTTTTCAGTCCACACACTCACATATATATATACCTATCAGCATCATAAATAGAAATTTATTAAAGAAGCGTGTTCTTTTGATTACGTTTATGTGTTGTTCTAATTAATATTTATCAATTAAATAAAAAATATTAAATATATTATTTATACCGTACTTATAAATAAATATTGATTATTATTTACTAGTTATGTGATTACTATCACGAAAACTGTGAGAAACCATCGTTTAAACTATGACAGAAATATATATTTAAGTAAGCTTATTTTACTTAGAAGGTATTTAGAGGATCGCTTTTTAGGAGATATATATAATATAACGCCATTCAAAAAACTGATAATCGGTTGACTAACGTCTTCTTTTTATTAAGCAATGTTTGGTAAATCATATTGCAAATATTTTAATTATAGAAGTTAAATGTGTGGGTAGGATTTAAAGGCAAATATATATAGATTAATCAGGTCAAGATATATTTTCTTAGTTATATAGATAAGTAGGTTAGCATACGTGTTCGTCGGCTTCTATTGTTTGAAAACCGTTACAATTATGCGTAATTAACTTAATGTGATACCACCTGATTTCAGTGGAACCTCTGTTTATATAATAACACTTTGTTAAACCGCTTTATTAATGTTACAAATGGTTATAATTTTTTTGAAGAAACGCTGGCAATATAAGAGATATCTTCTATCTAATAGAAACAAATTATAATCATTTTTTCCATTTGCTATGCACTCTACAGGCATATAGAAGTTGTTAATTAGCTACTTCTTCCTTCTCATTACGAAAACTTTTACACTTATCATTGGATGTGATACCAGTCATTATGGATGGCGGTCTGTGCTGATCGTGTTCAATAATGACTTACGTTCATGTTAAAATTTCAGTTCTTCACATAGATCTCTTCGCCTCCCTGACTTTTCTTGGTCTGCTTAAGTCAGATATATTAAGCCTCGTTTGTGTAAATATGTTCCTCGACTTTACTGTTAATCACTATAATTCCTTTAGAAATATATTTCTTACTATTAGTTTATAAGTTGCTTAAGGAAGGAAATTCTTTTCTTTGTAGAAGAATTTGAATAATGCTTGAATAATGCGATTATTAGGCTTTCAATCAACTTAAGCACAAGCGACGGTTTTGTATTGTTATCTCCCAAATGGATTCTGCTTCTGCTTAGTTTCAGTCATTCATAGAGATTCATAGAGTGTTCAGATGTTTTAATATTTACTTCACAAAAGTAGCAAAAACTGATGCATAAAAGTCTATTTCATTTATATGGTACCTTAGTCTACACTGCCATAATAGAAGCCTGACGAAAGTTTTTGTATTTTCTCTGCTCAGAGTAAGTATTATTACAAAGACTATCGTAGATTGGTTAATGAATCTTTTGACCTATTTTCGGCTTTACCGTTTATCCAATAATTTTTAAATTTAACCAGTAACTGAGTTTGTCCTCAGTGCCCTATTCTGGATTGGAAATGTTAATTTTGATTTTATTTAACATAAGATTTCAAGTGGTTTCTAAATATGGTCAGGTATCTTAAGGAGTGGATCAGCAAGTACTATGTCTACTATAATCATGTGATACTGTAAGTCCCCTTTTATCATTATCATATTACCACTGTTCTGAAGACAAAGTGCAGCAGCACATGCTCTTCGAATGCGAATAGTGAATGGCGGAATGCTTGTGATCACACTCCATGCATCCGTGGTAATAGTGCTCATGGTTTTGGCATGTAAGTCGATGTAGTTCACTTAAGGTAACTTCAGCGTTTTTCTTTTTGTTTGACCTTAGACCACCAAATAAGTGGTATGTATATAATTATTGGTTTGATTATTTTTAAAATATACCTTAAAGTTAAAACCTTATGTTTTTTTGCCACAGATAATATGTTTCTGTTACTTTGTTGGCAGTATATTGAAGCTGTGAAATTCAGTTGAGAATTTTGTCCAGGATAGCACCCAGGTATGTAGCTTTATTGTTAAACAACAGTTTTATTAAGGTTTCAACTTAAGAAATTTTAGGTCTTCTTTGGTCTCATACAGCTACGTTAGATAATCGTTGTATACGAACAAAGTGGAAGGAGGATTATTTGGCTTCCGCTCTCTATAAAATTTTCGTTCTTCTTCGGTCTTATGAAGCTATGTTAGATAATCGTTGGATACGAATAAAATGTAGGATGAATTATATCTCTCCGTTCCCCACAAATTGCGACTGTTAAGCCAATTAATCTCAGGGAACAACACATCCCTTCTGGCATCATGAATAAACCATTTCAGTTAATGAAAAAAATAAACAAATACATTAATGAGCGTAAAATATTATCACAATATGCTTCTCCCCAGAGTATGGAAACATTTTCCATATATTTCTTTCCTGTTGCCTCAAACATAATTCCGTTTTTTAACTGGCGTGTCTGACGTCTGTCAGCACAATAATAAAGAAGCTGTTAGCATAAAAAAAAAACAAAAAAAAATATTGATAATAAAAAAGAGATTGGCACACTTCATCCGGGGTCAGTGGAGGTCATTCAATGTTGACCAATACCAAACTGAACTACAATTGTTACCATTTGTTATCAGATGTATACGATCAGTGAAAACTGAATATATCAAAATATATATTTTGATATTTTCACTTAGCATTTTGCATTTTGCATAAAAAATGAAAAATAAAATATTTTTTATAACAAAAGAAATAATAAAAAAAATAAATGCAAAATCCCATGCAAAGTGGTGCTGCGTAGGGTGCAACCGAACGATAATTGCAGTCGGATTAAGAATTTGTTGGGCTTCATTTCGGTAAACGAGTAAAGCGAAATGAAATCGGTGCGTTCACGGTGCATTTCAATAGAAAATATGTTGAGTGCACGGAAAACTGCAGTTCTATTGTCCACTACCAGAAATGCCTAATGTGCGTGCATGTACGACAACAATAGCCGAGCTGAAAATAATCCGCTTTGAATGCAAAATATTCCAGAATTCAATATGAAAATATGTGGAAAGAATACCATAAATTGGGATATGTAGCGACCAGGACAGCTTAACGTATATTTGTCTGTCCTTTAATGAGGGTAAACTATGCATTGCTTGGACGCGTGCCCAGTGTGTAGCGCTGATAGAAGAAATGAACTAGGATTGGATCCAGCTGCGCTGACCCTGATTTTCACTTTGTTTGTGGGTACGATTTTACTTTCATTTCAATTTTATAAGATTTTTTCTCATTTTTTTATTTTTATTAAATCGCTTTTTTAGTGAATTTAATGAAGTCCAAAATTGTTTAGTATTTTTCTGCTTGTGTATAAAATATCATATGAACTATTTTGTATCTTTTGTTAAATGCAAATAATTTGCATGCGCCCCCTGAAACTAATCTATTGTCCTCGTTTGACTGTTTAATTGTCATCCTTTTGCGACATATTATTGAGTCCTTTTGCGGAAGTGTCCTCAAATATTGATTGACAACTGATTGGCACATCCATTGTTTGTAGAAAATCAAGTGGGAATTTGGCATAAATTGACTATTTTCCTTGGATTACTTTATTAAATCAATTTCTTTCAATATGAAACATTTGCTTAGGTATTGTATATACATAGATTGTATATATGGTGTTTATATATATTGTATATATGTATTACATGTTTAACTACATTCAATGGTACTTGTGAATTCATCACGTCAGACAATAATTGATGATGTGCTTATTATACAAAGTTAAACTCGAAGCTTCTCTAATAGTCACAAAAACTATACATTATTATATGGTCAGATAGTTATATACCAAAAACCATATATATCATATTACCTGAGATCAATGAATCCAAACTTTATTCATGTCATATTTTACCTAAGAGCTTCTAATTCATCAAACGTATTGGTGAAATAACAAGAGCTAGATAATTATATTTACTACAGATATAGATATATATATAAAAGATAAACTCAAATTGATATTAATAATTTTAATGACTTTATTAAGATTAACAATAAATAGAATATAATTTAGAGAATTAAATATACACAACGTAATCACTACCGTAACTCTTTGACTGCCGACTGTTGACTGCTGACTTGACTTCTGCTACTTGAACGATTTCTACTTGACTGCTTAACCGGCTCCCACACATAAATATATTTACATAAATAAATGATAGAATGTTTCATTATAGACAGTTATATTATATGAAATATATCTTTGAGTCCCGCAGGTGTAACAGTTTTTCTGAACGTGTTTCGAACTTACATTTACTACTTCAGAAGAAAAAGTAACTTATCTAGTTAAAGGTTGCAGACCCCTTTCCAGGAA